AGCAGGACGCTGCTGGTCAAAAAGCAAACCCCAGAGACAGTCGCTCGCTGAGCCGGAACGAGATGTCTAACAGCCGACGTTGTACAGTGCTTTGGTTGTGCGCACACGATCCGCTGGGCCGTATTTCTCCATCTGGCGCCGTACGCGCCAGGTTTCGTAAACCAGACTCTAAGTTCGGCCTTATTGTCACTTTTTCTAACAATCAAGTCTATTTGCTTCACTCATTCTGTCTTTCTGATGGAAATTCACATGTGTATCTGAGAGGCACGCGCATACAGCCCAAGTCGGTAGCAGGACCACTTGGCCAGCGTCTTCTGACTGTTTCCTGTCTGTGCTAGTGAATGGCCTCTGGGATCATGGGACGGGCACCCAGACAGTCGCTCAAGCAGGAGGAAGCTTCAAGACGAAGTCTGGCCCTGGTCTAGAGCGCCACTTCTGCATGCCACCGGAAACAACAGAGCTAGGCTCCTGGAATTGGGCAGCCACCTCTTCACAGTACGCAAGCTTTGTGGGAATGGGGTTCCATCGCCGAGTCCTTCCACCTTCCAGCCGGCCAACCATCCATTATCACCTTAGCCGCCGAGGAAAACCCGCGTCGATGCACACCCCCGCAGCCAGACATTCGGGTTGGCCATTGCGATCTGCAGTCGTGGAGTATTTCGTCACATGTGTCGAAGTCATTCTGAAGAACCCTCCACTGTGAGGGAATCATGAACTACGCCCAGTGTAAGATCTGGGCGATCGCAGTACAATAAACTCGGCCACTGATATTATGAATGAAACCACACACAAGCGGTGTCCGAGGCTCGAGCTGTGCGGCTTCAGCCCAGAGAAATTGCATGGACCATGCGCTTTCTTTGCCTCGTGGTTGCGGCAGCGCCCGCCTCTGCCGTGATCTCTAGTTCATGCCCGAGTCATCCCCATGAGGTATGCCCTTACCTTGCCATACATATGGCACCCTTTCATTGGACAGAGACCTCACCGGGGCCATGTCTTGCGCACGTTACCACGACAAGCGTCGATGGCCACCATGCCAACGAGTCGGCGCCGACGAGAGGGGTCAATCATCGTCACGCAGCGGGCGAGAGTCCTTTCGGGCTACGATGGGTGAAATGACAGCTCCTGAGAAAGTCGACATCACGAAGCTTCACTGTCTGTCGACTACGCTTTTGCTTGTCTCGCCATGCGAATAGCCGTTTCTGTTGACCTCTTGCTTGACTTGAGACCAGGGTGTTGGTGTTTGTTGGACCTCTCCAAGCGCGAAAAATAACTCGACGGATAACCATGGCAGGCCATCGGACAAATGCCGGAGTGGCTGACGGAATCATTCTCCTGCCCGGCCTATCTATGTAAACCCTAGGCCAAGAGGGAATTCAGTTCGGAAACCCCATACAAACACGCCAATACACAAAAAGACCTCGCAGCACCCCGCTGTTGGTTGGACGTGACGTGACGCGCCGTGACGCGGGGTCGAGGTGGGGTTTTCGAAAACCATCCGACCTGCTCGGCATCAGGCGCCTGCCTGTAGGTACCCAATGGGCTGAGGCTACCACATCACTCTGCATTCCTCCATTGCCGGCTGGGACCATTGTCGGTTGGGAGGAGCCTAGTCTATCTCCTCTGTTGCGCATCAGCCTGTCGCCGCGGGGTCATCCAAGGTTTTCTACACCTTTGCTGACCATGAATCAAGACGAGCATGATTTAACTCCTTAGTTGGCTAACATGACGGAATAGTATAGCGACTATCGAGGCGGCTAGCATACATGAAGCTTTCTTCCCGCTAGTGTAGATGCTCTGCCAAGATGAAAGTTCGAGAAAGCCTCGCAGACATGGGCTTGTTATGAACCGTCGCTCGTCTTGATGCTAGAGGTTTGTTCGTTTCTTCAAGCCGGGGCTTATTTCCGTCACACGGTTCAGCATTGTATATATGCTGGAGAGCGTGTCACCCGCGCCCTCGGGCTCGGAGAGCCACTGCAAAGTGTGCAGGACAAGGCATTTGAAGAGAAAGCAAACTCGGCTGTGAGAGACGATACGTTGCTCTTTGACAGAAATGCGTTGGCGGGGCTCACTGAACATGGTCCTTGATATTGTACATGTAGGGCCGATCCCTTGCCAGGTCCGAGCCTGCCCACGATCCGACGTTCTCGGACCTTGGTATGATGGGATATCGAGAGGTGCCAAGGTAGACTGGGCTGCCCGGTAGATGTCCGCAAGCTGCAGAAACGTAGACGCACGGCACGTGAGAGAAATGGGTATTGAGTAGATTATGTGTCAATGTAGCATTCTCAAGGTTGTCCAACATTGATGTGTTCTTTGACACGATCCTCAAATCCAGCAATACATCATCTCCAGCACGCCAACCTTCTTCCACTCGAACTCAAGGCGTTCATAGCCTCGAGGTCCGCAATGCCGACTCTTTTACACCGCTGAACCCTTCTGCCTTCTTCCATGGATAGCATGCACCTTTGCAGCATCTAACGCGCCTCGACGTCTCCTTGCTCGGCCCTCGCAGCATTCATGGCCTTGAGCTTGGCAGTTCCAAACCCAGCAACGCCACCTTCCTGGTTATCACCCAGCCAGGGCTTCTTCGAGTCGCCGAGCATGCTACCAGCAAGGAAGTATGTGACCAGGCCGGCAATGATGAGGACGAAAGCAATGGGGTACAGGAAGTGAATGGCTAGGCCAAAGACGTGAATGCCAATGATGACGCCCCAAAAGTTGGCCGTCAACAACGAAATGTTGTAGAAGGCGGCCGACGCGAGTCGCAGAACGACGGGCACGATAGAATAGAAGAATGACAGGCAGAGCGTAAAGCCAACAATGTAGCTGGCGATTTGCCCGTTGAATTCAGCCTCTTGAATGGAACGGCGGTCGAAAATGGTGGCCTGCACGGCAAGGATGCAGCTTCCAAAGAGGGCCATGAAGGAGAGAACCTCATAGACGGGACGCTTAGAGACGAGGAATTCTTCAAATGTGTTGGTCAAGCCATAACATGTGGCACCGAGGAGCGCGAACAAATCGCCCTTAAGCTTGTTCGCGGCGTCACCGCTGCCACCCTTGATGTAGTCGGAGGCGATGAGGAGGCCCATGCCGCCACAGGCCACGAGGATGCCGACAATCTGGAACGGGCGGTAGCGAACCTTCAGGAAGAAAAAGGACAGCAGCACAACCACGACAATGGCCCAGAAGTTGATGAGCTGGGCGGACAGAATGTTGGTGTAGCCGTAGGCCAAGACGGTGAAGTAGTTGCCCTGGACATCGATGAAGCTGAGGATGAAGTACTTCCAGCCGTCGCGCCAAACGATGCGAAACCAGGCCTTGATACCCATGTGCCAGATGCAGATGGGCCACCAGATGAGCAGCAGGAGGATGTAGTTGAAGATGTTCTGGAAGGCGGGAATATTGGTGCCTGCAGCGCCCAGTAGCCCTGAGAAGGTGTTGGTGGCCGTGATGCAGAGCGCCAGGACCTGGCCGGCTACGAGAACGATCCAGAAGTCGGTGGTGGTCAGGTAGGACCACCAGTGCACCTTCTTGGCCTCGAGGACATGCAATCCGCGGCTGACAAGCTCCGAATCGGTGTCCGGACGCAAGGCAGCGGCATCAGAAGACTCGGGGCCAGTGACCCGCGTCGTGGTCGGGCTCTCGACCAAGTTTTTGCTATCAACGCCGCTCATGTTGTCCGATGAAAGGGCCATGGCTGCGACGCAGGGTGATTCGTATAAGTTCCGAACGAGGTGTTTCGGAATGATACGAGTATGAGTGAAGCTTCACTGGGAAATACTTCAATGTATTTCAAATGTTGCTCTCAACAAGTACGTTAGTCTTTCTTCGTCCCCAAAGCAAGCGCAAAGACTGCGAAGTCGCCTGCTGTTTGTTTATCGTCCGAATGGACGGCACATGTATCTGTGTGCCTGAAAAGGGTAAATGGTGAAGGTCTTGATGATGCAAGACGACATAAGACCGATGCTGCCAATGGCACAAGAGGCGGGGTGAGGTTTACGAGTCGCGAGGCTCAGGTGAGCGAACCGAGACTGGAAAAGAGTTTTGCTGAAGCACCGGTTGGCAAAGGTGGTGAAGTGAACCTGGACCGGAAAGTATCAGGAAGGTTAGATGAACGGTCACTAGATGGGCCCCAGTGATATTTGAAGTCAAGGGTCGCACTTGCCAATAACAGATGGGGTGCTGAAAAAAAAATTGCACGTGGATGGTTGGCAATCGCAGATGGAGTCGCCACGAGAAGGCCCGGCCAAGCACTGCACCTAAAAGTTGCTAGTCGCCCATCCCGGCAGGCGCTGTCGGCGGTCACCGACATGGGAACTAGGCGGCCAGGAGCTTCGGGTTTAGAAGCAACAGCCAGATGGTGATCATTGCGTCCAAGCCACCCCCCGGTAGATAACCACCACCACCACCAACTCAAAGCTCCTCCAGGGCCTGGCCCGCGAATAGCGGATCGTTCAGCTTGCTAGCGGCCTTTTGCAGTGAGCGGATCCCCTGCAGGTATCACCACTGCGGTTGCCCTACAAATCCGATCCAGAAAAGCTGAAGCACTTGCTCGTGAGAAATGGCGGCAGGCGCGCAGCCGCTTCCACGCCCTCGCCTCGCAACTGCCTTCGTAATTAAGGTACCTAGGTAGGCACATCAATCAAGGGTAGGCAGTGGCATACTGGCGCCATCAGTCATGTGCAAAAACCATGGCCATGAAATCCTTGGCGCTGGGTGCGAAGTGGCGATGGCCCTAAGCAAACATCAACTGAGCAAGCAACTGTATCATTGTCATCATCTGACCAACTCTACTTCTTCTCCGACCCGCTGGCGTCGTGGCACATTGTCGTGGTATCTTTGTCAACTCTCTCTCTCTCCCTCCCTCCCTCCAACTTGGGAATAACCTACACATCAGATTTAACCCGGGATGAACACCGAAACACCCAGGGAGGCCGTCCTGGCTCCCCCATGCTGTCACCTGAGCTTGGTACAAAAGAAAACAATGCAGCCACCAATACCTAGATGAACCCCACCTGGAACTCATCCGCAATCCCTGTTGGCGCTCTCAGACCAAAGTCTGGTCTGGTCCCCATCCCGACACCTCCCTCGAGAGGTGGTGTCTTCGCCCTCTCGACCTTGCGACGATCCTCCGCCCACTGTGGTGGAGGTGAGCGTTCCCGGAAGCTTGGGCTCACCAGTGGCGCGTGGGGCTTGCTGACATCCGCACCGCCGCCGTCAGCAAGCGGCCAGCTCGAAGCACCTGGCGGGGGTTCCTTGGGACTCTCCTGCTGCAGGCGTGGGCTCGCACCGAGCGGCGACGGTGCTTGTCTTGGCGAAGAAAATGTGTCGCCTTCGTCGAACTTTGGAAACTGGTATGAGGGACTGAGAGGTGAGCCTTCATCACGCAGCGGGGGTGCGGGAACGTTAAGCCGCGGGGGCGCTGCTCGGCGATTCGCTGGCGAAAGACCGTAGCTGCGATCCGCGTCGATGACCGGCGACGGCTGAGGCCGGCGTGGGGGCAAGTTGAAATCCTGTGGTCCTTTGGAGGGGTGATCTGGCTCAACAGGAGACCGCAGCGGCAGCCCGGTTCTGGCGACGGGAGGTGGCGCGATGCGCGGGGCAGGCTCGTGTGGTCGCGGTCGGGCATTAGGCATGCGTTGCGCAGGTGGTGGCCAGGGTCGTGGGGGGCCTCGCATTTGTGGCGGTGGTCCTCTCGGAGGCCCATGAGGTTGTTGTGTGCCTCGTACATCGACCGGTGGTGGCGGTCGCCTGGCGCTCCTCGGCGGCGGTCCTAGATCGAAGTTGATGACCTCGGTCGGGCTTACATTGGCCGCCGGACTTGGTTCCTTTTTGTCGAGCCCAAAGTCGAAACCAAAATCAATTCGACTCAGCTCCTCAATATCCATGGATACGCTCTGACGACGTGTAGGGTGGTGCGTGAGCGTATCTCGCTTTGCAGTCACATCACGAATGACAGGTCGATCCCAAGAGCCCATTTCTTGATCTTCGTGCGAAGATGCTGGGGAAGGGAGTGAGTCGATATTCTGCGGCGCGGCGGCGTACTTTTCCGGCTGTGCTGGATCCCGGTGGCGGTATAACGTTCCCTCTTCTATTGCTGGGGTTGTCACGGGCGTGCCAGGCTTCTCCGTGCTATTCAGAGACGGTGGCGGCGACGGATATGACCTCGGCGGTGAGTGTGATTTTGTTAATTTGAGAGTTCTGTTCTCATCTACAGCCGATGCCGGTTGCAACTGCATCGGGCTTGTTTCTGCTCGTCTCAGTGGTTTAACGGGCTGCAGTGTTGCTGGGCTCGATACGTCGAGTGGAGCCAGGTTGAATTCGAACTGTCCAAGAGGGCTCCTGGGGATTTGCGGTGCGGTCGAGGCAACAGTCGGCGTCGATGCTTTGGCACCAGACGAAGTAGACGGCCGTTGTTGCTGTTGGGTCCTCGAAGGCGTCGAACCTGACGAGCCGTCGCGGCAGAAATGGACATCAAGGGGGTTGACCCAACCGGTGCCGCGGTTTGAGCCGGCAGTCCCTGGCCGGCCGTTGGCTGCTGCCGGCGTCATTGGCGGTGGTACTAGGCTCGTGGAACTCGCATTGTTCCAGCGTGTGCGCAGATTCGTTTCTGAACCGTAGTGACGAACGCCGGAGCCGATGCTCGATTGCTGGGTCGCATGGAAGCTAGCGCCGGCCCCAGCAGCCAGGTCAACCATGCTTCCGCTGCCGTGCATGTAGGGGAGCTTCGGACGGGGTAACGACCGGTTGGAAGAGGCTGTACCCGGGCGTGGAATGGGCGTGCTCGCATCCAGGTGTAGGAGGTCCTGCTTGTTAAGAGTGGTGCCGAAAAAGTCGCTGTCGCCATCCTTCGGCTGAGGCCCTTCAAGGTTAGCTGACTTGTCATTTTTCCTGGCAGTGACAATGTCAGTAGCTATTCAATTCGGTCGCGTAAGGAGGGCGTACTTCTTCTTATCCCCTCCGAGCTTCAGCCCGAAGAAGGACACCATGATGACGGTGACGATGTGTCAAACAGTCGAAAATCGGTGGCGAAGGTAGCTGGAAAAAGCGAGAGGAGTAGTGAAAAAGACTGGCTTGAGCGCAGACGCGACTGCACTTCTTTTCTCTCTGTGCTGTCCAAATGGTCAAGTATCGATCGTACGGTATCGCGCAACGATCGGCGAACAAGTAAAAAAATAAACGTCAGACGGTTCTGTAAGACAGGCGACAGGCTAAGGCTGGCGGCAGGAGAGCGAAGCTTCAATCAAGGATAACAATCAAGGTCTCAGGGTGCGACGGCCATGTCTCGGTCACGAGAAGAAAAAGAATGCCCAGGGAGGGTCGACAAAGATGTGGTTGAAGCTGGCAGAATTCCTGCCGTTCGGCCGAATAGTTGAAGTAGTTCCTGTTCCTGGGTGGATGGGTGGATGAGCAAGTGCTGGCGCGCGCACAGTAGCTCAGGGGCTGGTTCCTCAAGGCCAGGGAAAAGATGGCTCAGCGAGCTCGTGCAGGTTGCGGTGCGCAGCCTGTATGTACAGTTGGGTCCGAGTGACGCCCAGTCGAGTCTGACCGACGATAGTGGGGTGTGCGCGGGGCGACAAAAGCAAGGGCGAGCGCCTGCGGATGTGAGAGAAGGGGAGACTGCTTCCTGGATCTCCTCTCCCAGGCTGGCGTGAGACTCGTCGATATAGAGAGGAGAGAGAAAGAGAGAGAGAGAGAGAGTGGACGCAGCATTGGTCGTTGTCCCCAGGAGTAGCGACGACGAGAATCCAGGGGGCGCGAGTCGGGTTGATGAGGGGGCGAGGGCGCAGCTTTGATGGACGCCTCCATGCAGGTACCAAAAGGGCTTTAACTTTTGGCGATGACTGAACGGCCGACCCAGAAACAGACGAACAAACATGGGACACGGGCCCTACGATGCAGCCAGACGCACCGGCCATTCATCCATCCACCTACATCATGCAGGAACAGAACATGTTGCTCTTTTGCCCGTCCAGGAAGGGAAAAGGGTGGAGATGAGGAGACGAGGAAATGAGATCCCAACGCGCCGGGGCGCTCAAAGGGAACAACGACACCCAGGGGCCAATGGGATACCTGCCTATGGGTACTGGGCCGTGGGATATGGGCCATGGATGGAAGGCGACCCTCCTTCACCGGAACCTCAAAGCACCAGAAGGCGCTGGCACACATACACAAGCCCTTCACTGGCATTCGACGCAATCTCGCCTGTCTGCGCGGGGCGACGCGTGATGAGCATGGGCGTATGAGCATGACGAACTTTGAATAACAGTGACACCGCAGACACCGATGCCTCGTGGACGGACAGACCAAGGGGTCAGGTCCGCTTGGACTACATTGCGGTATCGGGTCTGCGCTGGTGTAACAGACGACTGTCATGTCCGCCCCGAATGACGAGATGATCGACCAGCTACCGCAAGACCAAAGGCGGATGAACGGGCATTTACAGTTGCAGTGCACTGTGAATTCAGGCGGGCTTGGATTTGTGGGTGTGGGAGCCGGCGTGGTGAAGGGGAGACGAAGGGACAGCGAGGTCAGGTACCCGAGTAAGTCTGGTCAGTACCCAAGCAGGTCAGATCCGTCTCAGGTGCCGCGCGGGTGCTGCCGGCCACCAGTCCGAATAGGTAGGGGGGCGGTCCGCACACGTTGTGTGCCTGTCGTCCTCATCTCGTCACGATGGACGACCATGTTTCCCCGCTCCCCTTTCTTGCCTTGGTTGCTGACTCCCAAACGGTCTGTCAGGCCTGCAGGCCAAGCTCCAGGGACGCGGCATGACATCCGAACTCGCGCGCCCGTGCTCGGCTGCCAGAAACCCCGAACCAGCAGAAACAAAACCAGCAGGGCTGACATATGACGTGGGGGGACCATCATCTACGTAGCAGAAACAGGTCAATGAGGGTCCTCCAACGTCCAAACGGTGTTTCATCGTCCTTCAGATCCGTCCGGGTGGGTTGGGATGCGTAGGGCTCATCCCGTCGATCTCAATGAGGCGGACACACTGAGCAACACTGGGGCCACCCTGACATGACACGTCCACACCGAATCATGCATCCCGGACCATCCGTCTTCGTGTTCTGCCGCGAGACGGTTGGCATCAGGGCCTTGACATTTGTTATCTACGCCCCGTCAATTCTTTTTCGTTTGTTTATTTTTCCTCTTGCAGACTTTCCAGCTGCAGGGCTCCTTTGTCTTTGACTCGTACCACGCGAAGCGAATCCCAGCTGTAGCGCAGTCAATAGCGTCTGCGCTTGTGGCCCGGCGGGAACTGGTCCCCGGGCGACAGAGCTTTGCCATGTGCTGCTGTTGTGGTCGCGGGAGATGCGAGACGGAACCCACACCCATGTCTGATGCTCGGCAACGTACTTGTAGGCCAAAATGGTACCAGTGTAAGATTTGATTCTCCGCTCCATGTGAACCGTGCAGAGAAAGAGTAGAGAAAGGAACCCAATGCATGAATGCTTGCTGCCCAGGACCCCCCTTTCCTCCCAGATTAGAATTCCAACGCGATGCCATGCGCCCACCCCAAGAACACGATGACACGAGACCAGATATAAAAACATGGCTGCGACGTAGATGCAGAACACACAACTTAACGGCCAGCGCTATGGCCAAATTTAAAGTCAAAACCCCCCCCAAAACAGAAAAAAAAAGAAAGTCAAAATCAACACTCTCCCTTCCAGTTCTCGCCGATCCACTTGGCCATCTTGAACGTCAGCGTCTCGTCGTCCCACTTGTCCACGTCGCGGTCGCTGTACTCGCCGCCGCTGAACTTGAGCGCCATGATGACCCACTGCTGGATGAAGTCGAGGAAGACAACGTCGACCGTCTCGGGTTCGCTAGCGTCCGCGGGGAAGCCGACCTCGGCCTGCACGCAGTTGGGCTGCGCGTAGAATTTGAGGGGCGTGTGCTCCGTGTCGTCGCCGTCGGAACCGAGGCCGTCCTTCGTGGTGTAACCGCCAATGAGGGCTGGACGGTCGCTCAACGGCTGCTGCTGACCGTCGCTGCCTCGCAAGTCAGACTGGGGTGAGAATGGCGCGTCGTTGTCGACGGAGAGGTCCTTAGCAGCCATGGCCTCGGGCAGGTTCAGCAAGCGCGTGTCGAGGTCGGCCTCGAAGATGTGGTCGCCCGTGTTGAGGAGGGTGATGACCTTGCGGGCGACGGCGTAGGGCACATTCCGGACGAGGCGGAACTTGCTGATGAACGGCGACACGATATAAGTGCTGTCCTGTGTGAAGGGGCCCTCGAAGATGTCGAATCGCATGGTGCCCGTGTTGATGATGGCAAGACGCGGCTTGTCGTCGTGCGGCTTCTTGATCACGTCTGGCAGCACCTCCGTCTCGAGCCATGTGTAGAGACTGCTGTTGCTCGGGTATTCAGCCCTGCTCATCCACAGGTCGCGCGGCGCGCAGCCAAACTGGTGATCGAGCTTGAGGCTCGTGCGCGCACGATCGATCATGCTGCTGACGTGCTTGCCGCGCTTGGTCGGGAAAGTCGTCGAGTTGAGGCCTGTGTGGTGGTGCAAGCCGTAGAGATTGTTGTCGATGTAGCTGCGCGAGTACTTGACAGAAGCGGCGGTTGAGACTGTGTCGTCTGCCGCCTTATCCCTCTTCTTGATCTCGTCGACTGAGGCCCAGCCGATGGTTTCCATGTAGCGCCCACTGGCCAAGGCATACGAGTTTGCATCAAAGCGAAGGGCATCACGAACGTGGGCATGCCCACCAAAGAAGAGAATGGGTGTGAACCAGCTCTGTGCACGAATGGCCTTGAGAATGGCCTTGAACTCAGGCATGCGCAGGCCAACATGACCGATGACGACAAAAGCATCCGGCTTCTCTTCGCTGAGGACCTTCTGGAACCAGGCCTCCTTGACCGTATCCTCGACCGGCTGGACTACGGTATTGTTGGCGTTCATGGTAAAGTCAAAGATGAAGCCGAACGCGATAATGTTGAGGCCCTGATTTTTCGTTGTGAACTTGCGGTAGCGCTGAGCCTGCGGCACCTGTGTCCCTGTCTTGTCGTCCAAGTAGTCGAGGTTGGAGGCAATGTAGTTGTGCTTGAAGTTGGGCACGGTGATGGCGTGCTCGCGGTCGGCCGTCGGTGCCTGGTAGAGCTCGTGGTTACCGGTACACAACAGATCGACCGACTGCTCGCGAACTATGTCGTACGTAAAGAGGCCCTGCGGGCTGGAGGCGTCGTACAGGCCGTTGCCCTCGACGCGGTCACCTGTATCCACGAGTAAAAGGTCAACGCCCTTGTCGTCGGCCTGTCGACGCATGTGCTCCGCAAAAGAGACATAGTCGCCCCAATCAGCAGAGTACTGTGGTTCTTGGAGATGACCGCCGAGCCAGCCGTGCGTGTCGGTCGTGTGAAGGAAGTTGAGCTTGCCCCAAGTTAGGTCGCGCATGGGGGCAGCGACGGGCTGCACCGCGCCAGGCTGTGCTGCTTGCGCGACGCTGCACAGCGCGCTTGCGAGAACGATTCTAGACAGAGACATGTTGATGTGCGCTGCCTTCGGTATTGATCAGATGGGCGAGAAACCTTGTGGGGGTAGGTGTAGGAGCGAAATTCCTCCTTGGATGGCCCATGTTGCTGGGCGTGACTCCCACGTCACAAGGCAGCGGCAGCAGCTACAGCAGCTCCAGCTACGCCTGCCTCCCTCTTTGCGGTGTGCCTTACCGCAGGTACCGTGAACTGGGGAGGAGCTACCCCTGCATAGTGGGGTCCAGCTACAAGGGTTCTCCCCCTCTGCCGAGCCACAGAAATCGCCCTCGTGGTGCGCCACAGCAGGAGATGACGTTGGACACTCTGATGCTCCTGATCTCAACGTTCATGGAGAAAGTCACTTGGATCGTGGGATCTAGCGGGGTTCGGATACGTCGACGTCAGTTCTGCCCAGTCGGCACATTGGCGCTGCATACCGCCTGTCAGCCATCTCCTCCAGGATGGGCCCTGACTCTGAGGTGAACTAGGGGTACCTACCTAGTTGCCAGAGCACAGTCCTGAATTGCGAGAGGTCGGGATTGTCGCCGATGTCTCTGGACCGACGGCCATGAGTCCGATGCGAGCGCTGCCTGGGCGCGTTATCCTACGTGCCAGCTTCGAAAGAGCTTCGAAGGAGCTTCTCTTCCAGTCATCTATATGATTCAGTCTGAGGCTATCTCTGCCGGCTCTGTTAACCAAAGATGGCGCGTCGGAAAGTCGATGCTACCACAAAGCCTTTCGCGATGCCTGGTAGCAAACCAACCATCCTCCGACTCGGTGAGGATATCAAGTACAACCCTGGCTACTACAGCGATACATTCACGCAACGTTTCGATGTGGTCGCAAACGAAGAGCCGGATCGAGCCTCGTTCATTGCAGCACTCAAGTCAAAGAAGTATGGTAATTTCTCTGCCATATTTCGCCCGCATTTTCAGTCAGGGGGCGAGATGGGACAGTGGGACGATGAGCTGATCTCGCACCTCCCACGATCCGTACGCATCTTCGCCTCGGCTGGGGCGGGCTTCAACTGGGCTGATGTCGACGCCCTCGGCCGCGCAAAAATATGGTACGCCAACGGTGCCGGCGCCAGCGACGAGGCTGTCTCGGACACGGCCCTCTTCTTCATCCTCTCCGTCTTCCGTAATTTCTGGCGTTCGCAGCGCGCGGCGAGAACCTGCGACCCGGAGCAGTTCATGGCCATGCATCGCCTGGTCGGGAGCATATCCTGGAACCCTCGCGACCACGTTCTCGGCATTGTCGGCTTGGGCAACATCAGTAAGAAGGTCGCCCTCAAGGCACGGAAAGCGCTCGGCATGAAGATACACTACTTTGACGTCTGCCGCTCGCCACCAGAGGTCGAGCAGGAGCTGCAGGCGACCTATCACTCTACCCTCCATAAGCTCCTTCGCGTGTCGGATTGTGTCACGCTTCACGTCCCATTGAACGCGCATACCCGGGATCTTATCGATGGCGATGCCATTGCGGCTATGAAGGATGGCGCGAGGCTCATCAACACGGCGCGGGGTGAGGTCGTCCATGAGCAGGCTCTGATAGCGGCTTTGAAGAGCGGCAAGTTGTCGGCGGCGGCGCTCGACGTGCACTACCACGAGCCGCAGGTTTCTCCGGTGCTTGCTGAGATGGAGAACGTTACGCTGACATGCCACAACGGCGGTGCAGCAATAACAACCCGACTGAATTTTGAGCTGGGGGCGATGAAGAACATTGTCGAGGTGGTTGGCACTGACGGAGAATTCATTGGCGAACCGTTGACGCCGGTAAATAGGAAAGCTTTCGAGGCTTCTTGAGGAAAGGCATACAGCAAAGATATTAAGCCTATCTCGTAAATAGGAAAGCTTTCGAGGCTTCTTGAGGAAAGTCATGCAGCAAAGATATTATAGAAAGCCTATCTCGTTGTTAGCTACAACCACACTTTCCCCGCCCGACATATGCGCACCATCTCATTGATGGCAGGTCTAACATGATCCCCAAATATGATAGTCTTTCGCAGACGGAATTGAAAGTTTAAGCATTGCCGTTCTCGAGGCTATCATGAAGAATGTGGTCACTTATTTGTACAGCTACGCCCGTTCGGTGTGATTTGGTACGAGGGCTATGATAACTCGAGTGTTAGAGGTTCCTGCCCAATGTTTGAAGTGATGTGTACTGTGTTTGCGTGGAAATACCATCTGTATACTTGGCATAGTAATATTTTTGGGTAGTATAGCTTATGAGGCGGATAAAGGAGCATCGGTGTTGTCGCCGATGGCATGCATGTTCACACACCTGCCTGGGCTGCTGGTTGACAACAACGGCATTGTCACCGACCAACTTTGCAAGTCTCTCCGCACCTAACAAGGGCAGGCCACTTATTCACACTATGCACAGCATTTGGTGATCGTCTAATATACATCGGCAACCCGTGACCGTGGTCTATACATGAAACCCTGACGTGTGGTTCGCAGCTGCGTTGCCACGGTCCAAAGCTGATCATACCCCGGATTTACTCCGCAATCCCTATGCCGAAAATGTCCCAAGGCATCTCGTCTGACCTCAGGTATATATACATGATCCCATATCAGTCTCTGTAGCTTTGTCGAGACGGCGAGTCGTCACAAGTGCTTTGGTCACAAGTACACCATATAATCTTGCGAAAATGCGTATGTTCAAAGCCGACTTTTTCAGGCCCAAGGGGGCAAGAACTATGCATTTCTCGCACTTAAGCAACAACACCAACCCGACATGGTGGAAAAATGCCGGTCTTCGCAAAAACGTATATCATTGCGCTGGTCTCTACTTTTGTGTCTTCTACTTGGGTTATGATGCCTCACTCATGAACGGACTCCAAGCCATACCAGAGTGGGAGGAATACTTCAACAACCCTTCAGGAAGCGTCCTGGGCTTCATATCCGCCAGTCTCTTCCTCCCAGCCATTGTGACGCCCTTTGCGGCTTCCTGGATCAACGGGCTCTGGGGCCGCAAAGTCTGCCTCGGTGTCGGATCAGTGCTCTTGATCCTCGGCGCTTTCCTCAACGCGTTCGCCACGAACATTGGGACATTCATCGGCGGCCGTGTCATCATCGGTGCCGCTGGGCCCTTCGGCAAGATCACCGGCATCGCCATGCTGCAAGAGCTGGCGCACCCACGGCTACGCCCGTACGTTGCCACTGCGTACTACAGCAACTACTACCTTGGCCAGATAAGCGCCGCTTGGTTCTGTTTCGGGACCTTGTCCTGGCGGTCTACAGAGTGGAGGTGGCGCGCACCATGCCTCTTCCAGGCCTTCGCGCCGTTCCTGGTACTTGTCCATTTGTTCTTCATGCCAGAGAGCCCTCGATGGCTGATTGATAACGACCGGTCGGAAGAAGCCCTGAAGATCCTCGCTCAGGGGCACGCCAACGGCGACATCAACGATGAGCTTGTCAGATACGAGTACGAAGAGATCTGCCAGGCCATCCAGTCCGAGAAAGAAAATCAGAAGAGCAAGTACTCGGACTTCTTCAAGACACCGGGCAACAGACGCCGCCTTCTCGTGCTGGTGACAATGGGCACAGGCTCCAACTGGGTCGGCAACGGCATCATCGCATATTACCTGTCTCCGGCGTTGAAGCTCGTCGGCATCAACAAGGCAGACCAAATTGCGGGGATCAACGGCGGCCTGGCTGTCTGGTCGCTGCTGTGGGCATATCTCGGAGCCCTGAACGCCGAGCGCGTCGGTCGGCGGCCGCTATGGCTTGTGGGCACAGCTGGCATGTTGTGCACCTACATCCTGATCACGGGGCTCAGCGGGTCTTTCGAGCATAGCCCGACCCGCTCCGTTGGCATCGCCGTGGTGCCAATGATGTTCATGTACAAGACGTTTTACTGCATGAGCTGGTCACCGTTGCCGTTTGCCTACGGTGCGGAGATTCTGCCCTACCATATGCGACTCAAGGGTCTGAGTATTGAGCTCAGCGTTCAGAGCGTGGCCCTGACTTTCAACCAATGGGTCAATCCCGTGGCGTTGGAGGCCATGAAGTGGAAATAGTATGTTGTGAGGCGGAGTGACTATCGCAAGAGAGAAGCGGACTAACTCCAAACAGCTACATTGTGTACATTGCCTTGATCGCGATGTACCTCGTCCTCATCATCTTCTTCTTCCCGGAAACGAGGTAGGACCTGTGCTCACGACTCGTTGGGGCACGCCAATCTGACTGTTGACCGTACAGGAATATGACGATCGAAGCAGTCTCGATCTTGTTCGACACAGGCCGGAAAGGCGACGCGCTAGCAGCATCTCGGCAGTTTGTGCACGGCAAGGAACAGCCAGAAGAGGGGCATGTTGATCACATTGATGACGCTGGGAGACAGCCGAACGACAGGGCGCAGATCAAGGTCGTTTGAGGAAGAAGGGAATGGCGTGGAACTAGGGGGGGAACTGACACTCTATCTGACTCCATCCTGCACTGCCAGTGACACTTGAAGAGGCGACGGGTTGTGATACCTGCACTGGAGGACATGGGGAGTCTGAGGCGATAGCATCTCTCCATGATGTGAATTTTTGGAGCCATGCTTCCCAAGTCATTTATAGGTCTTGAGAAAACTATAGTTGGTGCAATGGATCCAGAAAGATTGCACTCGCCTGCCGTTTCCTCGAAGCTTACAAGTTCATAATGACCGTGGATTGTCATTCATCAATTCAATGCTTTGTGCAGGAATGGAGTGCGAGTTGGTCATGCTTGAGGTGTTGATGGAAGAGGTTGGTGCATGGACGGTGTCGCCAAGGGCGTCTAGCGGGACAGTTGTTATCGATAAAGCACTTCTGCGTCCGACAGCTCTGTAGCGCAACCACGAACCAGACTTGCCATGAGCATCATCATCGATGGCGACACCATTGAGACGGCCACATGTCTCCTCATGCCAAACTCTCGCGAATACGGCCACGGTCGGTAGTCGCTCTCACCAGCCGAGCTGCAGGTCTAACTAGAGGCGTTGGCCGGCGCCATCACCATGACCTGAACCACTTCATTGCCCGAGGTCAGCTGCACCCCATTGCACCTCGCTGACCTTCACTGACGACCGAAACATCGAACCAGCTGACCAGCAGTCCGAACCATTGGCACACGGCAAAGGACCGGCTCCCTTCAAGTTAGCAGTCAAAGACAATATCGCGACGAAAGACCTCCCGACGACATGCGCCTCCGCCATCCTCGCCGAACACGCCAGCCCTTTCGAGGCGACCATCGTGCGCCAGCTCCGCGAGCGCGGCGCCGTGGTCGTCGGCAAAACCAACATGGATGAGTTTGGAATGGGATCCCACTCTGTCCACTCGTCACGCGGTCCCGTCCGGAACCCCCTCGCTCCAACACCAACCTCTGCTGGCGGCAGTTCCGGAGGCAGCGCCGTCGCGGTCCGCGTCGGAGACGCAGCCGTCGCGATTGGCACAGATACAGGCGGCTCCATCCGCCTGCCGGCTGCGTACTGCGGCGTCGTTGGCTACAAGCCCTCGTACGGTATGCTGTCCAGGTTCGGCGTCGTCCCGTACGCGAACTCTCTCGACACGGTCGGCCTGTTGGCGAGCAGCGTTGTCGCCCTCGAGAAGCTCGTCTTCGAGACGGGCCTGGATCTGGAGCATGACCCGAACGACCCTACGTCTCTGTCGAGCGAGTTCCGCCAGAGCCAGGCGCAGCAAGCGCCCGAGCAGCGGCGCCTCAAAGTCGGCCTGCCGCTCGAGTACAACATTGAGGAGCTCGACCCCCAGATCCATGCCGCGTGGGTCAAAACCGCTGAGACGCTGCAGGCGCTGGGCGTCGATGTCGTGCCTGTCTCGCTGCCATCTACGAGACACGCCCTCTCCGCGTACTACGTCATCGCCCCAGCCGAGGCGTCCTCGAACCTGGCCAAGTATGATGGTGTCCGCTACGGCAAGCGCGGCGAGGGGAGCGACGCGACGGGCGAAGTCCTCTACTCGGAGACGCGAGGCAATGGTTTTGGGGATGAGGTCAAGAGGCGCATCCTGCTTGGTTCTTACAGTCTGAGTTCGGAGGCTATGGACAACTACTTTATACAGTCGCAAAAGGTGCGCAAGCTCGTGCAGCGCGACTTTGACCGCGTGTTCCGCCTCGCAAACCCCCTCTATGACGAGCAGCAGTTCGACCTGAGCGACATGACGGGTGACGTCGAGCTGGAGAACAAGCTTGGCCCCCAGCAGGTTGACTTTCTCCTGTGTCCCACGGCGCCCTCTTTTCCTCCGAGGATCGAAGATGTCGAGAAGCAGACCCCTGTTCAGTCGTACACAAACGACGTGTTCACTGTCCCGGCCAGTCTGGCTGGGCTTCCTGCCATCAGCATCCCGGTTCCGATTCAGTTTCCGTCTCCCGAGGCCGACGACAGCCGAAAGGTGGCTGGGTTGCAAATCATCGGGCAGTACTGGGATGACAAACGCGTGCTGCAGATAGCAAGGCGTCTTGCGGAGAAGCTCGCGGCGTAAGACATTGTGGCAGAGTTTGCCAGCTGGACTGACATTGAGCCAGGCGGGGGCTGAGGCTGTAACATTATGTAAGGTAGTAGACAATACCCCTGGACGATTGGTAGGCATGGAGCTTGGGAACTCGCGTGCTCCTCGGTGATCGGTGATGTGAGAGTTGTACATGATACAGTGCGATCGACGTTGCCGCAATTCAGGGCGTTCGCTCCCGACTCCTTGATCGACTTCGCGATGGGCTCCTGTCGACGTCCATTCTGCCGCCGTTCTGTCGCCTCTCGACAATATCGCCGTCTGACTCATCATCTGCCCTGCTACCTGGCGTCTCATCCTGCTGCTGCTGCTGCTGGTCTTGCTGCTGTTCCTCGTCGTCGGCATCGAGGAGTTCGTCAATATCGCCCAGAGGACTCTCCCTCTCTTCCAACTCTCCAAGGTCCACGAGGTCGGTCCTCCTCGGCAGCTCCCTGAAACTCGTCGCACACACTCTCGTCTTTGTCAACAGGTCGTCCACAAACTCGTCCACAAACGTCAAGCTCGTGCCTTGTCGCCCCTTCCGCCGCAGCTTCCGCCGGTCGACGAGGTACCTCTCGAGAATGGCATACACGTCCTTGGCGCGTCTCGTCATGCGAATGTAGAAGCAGGCGAGCGCGCGCAGATACTTGAACTTGTCGCCGCCAAAGCTCAGGTACATCTCGAGGACGGCGTCGCTCGGCGCGAGCTGCAGCAGCTTGAAGGCGAGGCAGAGGAAGGGCGTGGGCTTCTGCGCGGAGCCGTACGTGCCGCCGATGAACTTGACGTCGTTGACGACGCGGTCGACGATGCCGGCCTCGTTGAGGGCGAAGCACTGGTACTGGAAGTACTGCGCGTCGACGATGCGCCCGATGACGGCCTTCTCCATGATCTTGGCCGGGTTCTCGCCATTGGGGGCCAGGGCGGCTGCCGTGCCGCGGTCGTCGAGGAAGCGCCGCTCGTTGGCGTAGATGGTCTTTGTGTCGGGTTTGCCCATGGTTGGATGTGACGGGCGCGTGGCCTGCGCTTCGCTCGTGGTGAGTTGTTTCGCAAGATGGTGATGGATGACGGGACGTTGTTCGTGATCGGCAGGATTTGAGTGGTGGGGGGCTGATGGTCGCAGTATGGTGGTCGTGGTGAACATGGGTTTCGTGCGCTGAACTGGAAAAAGCTGGGTGACGTTCAAGCTTCCCGCCGCCGCGATATCGATTGTTGCCCCACCAACAAAGTCAACAGCCGCCAGACCTGCAACCAGCCTTTTGGATGACGACTTTCAATGCAGCATCTTGACTGTTGTACAGAAAATCCTCAAGCACCATTTCGTCGATATCAGTTGTTTGCATCGCGTCTATCTAGAATCGTATATTATCTACGCTCTGCCGCCCGTGTCGAGGTGCCACATCGTTCGCCGCCATGCTCCTCTCCTCCTCCCAAGTCTCCGCCGTCATCACCACCTTCATCAGTACGTCTACGCCGCCGGGCCCCCTCTCCTCATGCGTGCACATTCCATTCCAGCGACCCACGCATTCTGACATTGTTCTCCCCTCCAGTCATATCCTGCACGACGGCCCTCTTCCTCAGCGGCTACGTGCTCCAGCAACGAACCGTCAGCCAGCTGCGCGCCGCCATCCGCCAACACCCCCTCAATCCCTCCCCGCGCCCCAATCTCCCCGACCGCTTCCGCTCGACGACGACCGAGCTCGACGACGGCACGATCATCGTCCTCGAATCCGAAGCCCAGGCCGAGGCACACCAGCGCGACCCCGTCGTCGTCGAGGTGCGCCCCTCGGTCCCAGACCCCGCAGCAGCGGCGCCGGCGCGGCAGCCAAAGGGCCTCGCGCCCTCGCCCCACGACGAGCTGGCCGCCGCGCTGCGCGCCGCGCGAACAAGCCTCGAGGCGGCGCACGACCTGAGCGAGCGCGAGCGCAACGTGAGGCTCCTGTCCGAGAAGAACCAGCTCAACCCGGACCCGTCGGCCGAGGACCAGAAGCCCATCAGCCTGGCGCAGAGGCGGCGCCTCATCAAGGAGGAGCTGTTTCGCCTCTCGCACGATGACAAGCCTGTGCACTACCAGCGGAGGCTGCACTAGCGAGCGCACTGGGGTAGGGAGGCGGGCTGCGCCGTCTGTTGAGGAGGCATGGAGATTTCCTAGATTTAGTGTGTATATGGGAATGACGGCGTTTATTTTATATTTTTGCTACGGGGAGACGAGCGACGTGTGGCAAGGCTAGGGTATGCCGCAGTCCTCTTGATGGCAGGCTTTGTATGATGGGATGTACACGCAGGCATATAGTACAACGGGAGTCTCAGGGAGACTGCCACGTGGGAAATCCCACCAAGAATGTGAACACGAAACAATATCCGAGTTGGCTAGCACCACTCGCCTTTAGACTCAGGATTTAAGTGCCCCCGTTGACGTCAAGTTCGATCATTATTCATCGAGAGCATCGCTTAGCTCTTCCAGAGCATGGCAACATGATCCTCTTCATTGGGACCGGGATACAAGGCCAGGATACAGCCAAGTCGCGATGCAAAATGCCAACATGAAAGATCGTGAGCCCGCCCAGCCATGCGTAACGCCGTCCAAACCCCTGCCCTCAAACACTGCCAAACGCCAAACCATGAAACCGTCCGCAACCTCAAGCGTGGCGGTTCGCCGCATCCGCAAAGGCCTCCTGCTGCATCCTCTCGAGCTCCTCCATGGAGATGGCGCTGTTGGCGAACTTGTTCGCCTTCTTCTCTCGTCCCTGGGCACGCAACGTCAGCTCTCTGCTCTCCTGGGCTTCAGAAGGCCCCTCCCCCCAAAAAATAGCATACCTTTTGCACCTCCTTGTGCTCTGCGGCGGCCTCCAGAACAGCAGGCACATAGTCTGCAAAACCGAGTTGCTCGAGCGCCTTGGTGATGTGGTCACAGGCGATCGTCTTCTTGGCCTCCTTCTCGGAGATCTCGTTGGCCTCGGAGGAGATGAGGGTGATGAACTCGACGCAGCACTCTATGAGCAGGTCGCGCGCATCCTTGGCAAAGGCGATGCCGTCGGCCGGGGGCAAGATCTCGGTGACAATCTTCTGGACGGTGGCCTTGGGCAAGGAGAGATCGTCGTTGCCTGCGATCCCTGGTCAGTTTGGTGTTGGCAAGAGATGGCCCGGTGTGAAAATGGCGTGGTTGGCCCGTGGCCAGAATCAGAGAGGAGCGTGGTGTGAAGAGCCATGCACCAAGTGTGAGCTGAGTGACAGAAAGGGAGTGGCACCATCACAGCCAACCGTATTGCAGACACACAGGCAGGTGCCTGGTCTCACTGTGAGTGTATCCAGACAGGGAGAAGCAGCGATAGCCAAAACGCAAACAAACACCTGCGCTGCTTAGAATAAATAACTAGAGAGCATACCTCCGAACTCGTGGTCTGACATGGTGGGGGTGTTGTGTGGTTGTCGCGGGTGGTGGCTGAGATGAAACGCGATGAGGCTGGCGATGAGGGGCAGGTCTTTAACGACGGCGTGCAGGTCTTCGATAAAGAGATGAGAAGAGCACCTCGTTCCCGGGGCTTCGGTAGATGTCTTTGGAGATACGCGTGGCGCTGAGAGTCAAGCCGTTGATGCAGGGAGCGCTTGAGGTGTTGGTCGTCGTAAAAGTGCTGGAGGTTGGGTGTCGAGGCACAGGGTGAAAGTGAAGTGAGCAAAGGGCTCCGAGAGGACGGGCGTAGCGCAGCTTATTAGTGGAGTGGGGGTTGAGCAGTTGCCAGCAGAACGCAGTTGCCAGCAAAAAGCCGCCATGCGAAATGCGCCCGGCCCCGAGCCCACATCAGTCGGCGCACGGGCCATGGCAGCCGTGGACTTAAAAGTTCTTGAGCTTGAATTTTCTTCAACAGCTTTCCTTCCCGACAACATCCAGCAACCAACAGCTTTCATGCGCCGAGTTGCGACATGGCCAGTTCCGCAGCGCGTCGCCCTTGGTAGGCTGCGGTAGCTTCAATGGTAAGCTTCTACTCTCCCTCTTCCGTCCACACGACGTTCCCTCCCCACACACTCGACTATGATGAACACGCTGTCGCCCCAAACTAACGAGGTTTTCCTCGATGGTGAATGACTGTCCAAGCCAAACGGACTTCGCTGAACCGTCAAGCAATCATGCAATTTCTTCTGCAAAGACATGGAAGAATTTCGTGCTGACCATCTCGTCCACAGGAAGCTTTCCGCAGTCTACCGACATGTCTTGCCTTGCCACAGGCTAGCTAGCGTGTGCTTTGGGACACCAGACTTCCTCGGCGCAGCCACGCCGATGCCGACAACACGTGGGTCACTTCTTTGGCCCCCGAAGCGCATCACCTCGAGCGGCAGAGTTGGCCATGTGTCGACTCGTCACCGAAATGCGCGCGTGTTCAGCACCGGTGCTGCCTGCGTCTGGGGAACAAGCTACAGGTAGGCGCAAGAAATTTCTTTTCTTTCGGTTCTCTGCTGTTGCGGGAACAAGAATTTTGCGTGATGATAAAACATATTCCATGCTAATCCTGAATCATCTATGTGGATTAACGTATGAACTTTTCATCTTTCGACTGACTGCAAATTTTGTCTTGTCTATGTTTTCTGCCATATCGTGTGGGACCCAGCGCTGACAATGCAATCATAGATGAACCACTATGCCTGAGGTCTACTTGTCTTGGTATGCCGCAAGCTCACTCGCCTGCCACTTCAGCACCTTGCCTGTGAGGCTGTGATCTGGGTCGATCACGAACCGCGCCATGACGTGGCCGGGTTGCTCTGGCTTCACGAGCTCGCCGTTGTCATAGGCTGAGGAGAAGGCCGAGTGGTCTTTGGCGTTCATCGCATCCTTGCCTCCCTCCCGGATGAGCTTCTGCATGTCCGTGTCGACCCGGCCAGGGGTGACGGCAACGGTGGTGATGTCGGGCTCTTCCACTGCCAGGTGCGCAGAAATGTGGTCCATGGCGGCCTTGGACGAGCCGTATGCGCCCCAAGCCGTATAGGCTTTGGTGGCTGCGCCGGAGGAAACCCACAGGACACTGCCCTTGGATCTCCTCAGCTCCGGCAGTGCAGCTTGCACCTGAGAATAGTCAGCACCTAGAATGCAAAGAAACTTGATAATCATCCCTCACAATTGCCAATCCGCTGAACACGTTGATGTCGTAGCTCTTTCTCCACTCCTCGATGGAGCCATTCTCCAGCCGGCTGAGGGGCGTCAAGACGCCGTGGTTGATGACGATGCCGTCGATCCTGCCGAACGTCTTGATCGCGTGGTGCGCAACCTGCGGTACAGACTGTCGAGGTGTGAGCTTCAGGCGTTCGAACGAGAGCCCCCCCCCCCCTCCGGGGTACTTGCCTTCAGGTCCCCGAGGTCGCCCGCGACATACTCGACCTGCTTGGGGTAGGCCGTCTTGAGCTCTTCGAGCTTGTCCTTGGACCGGGCGGCGAGGACAACTTGGTGCGAAGCCTCGAGGAGGTACTTTGCGATGGCGAGCCCGAGGCCGCGGCTGGCGCCTGTGACGATGAAGACTTTGGAGGACATGGCGGGTTCCTTCGGTGCGGGCGAGAACGCGTGGTGTTCTGTTGGAGTGAACGATTGGGTCGTCGCGGTGCACTGGCTGGCGCAAAGGCTTTTCTTGTGTACCGCAACTGGTGGGCGACGTCGTGGATGGCGGCGCACCGAGTTGACGTGCTGTGTGGTGGGGCATTCTCTTATCTTATCACACCGGCCATCGAGGGGCATCGACGTCAACGCGATGCTGAGGTCATGGTCATGGAGATTCGAGGCGCATCTCTGACGTGGGAGCGGCTGGGCAGGTTGGACAACAGAAACACTGGTCATTCATCATGTACTTGGTCGAACAAAAGGCCCAAGAAGAAGAAGAAAGACGAACAAACTCGAGACAGCAACCGCACATTGGCATCTCCCAGCCATGAACACCACTGTCATTCTAGGGTCAGGCATTATCGGCGTGTCGACGGCATACTATCTCTCCGAAACGCAACCCCCATCGTCGATACATCTCGTGGAGCCGTCGCCTGACTTTTTCTCTTCCGCCTCTGGTTTCGCTGGCGGCTTCCTGGCTAAAGACTGGTTCGCACCTCGACTCGCCTCCTTGGGCGAGCTCAGCTTCAACGAACACAAACGACTGGCTGCAGAGAACGATGGGAGACAGAACTGGGGATACGCAAAAACCGACAGCTTCAGTCACGCATCGGGGCCCCAAAGTCGCAGTGGCGATACTGACTTGGATTGGCTTGATACTGGCGAGAGCCGCGCTCAAGTCGCGCAAGCCGCCGGCCCCATGGACACGACGATCCCGGCCTGGCTGCGAAGGCGAGAAGGCGACAACGTACAATCCATTTCCGAGGACGGCACCACAGCGCAAGTGTAAGAGCCCTGCCCCCCGCCCACCCGCCCTCCTCTGATCCTCTTCCAGTGACCCTCTCCGCCTGTGCCACTTCCTCCTCGAAGCATGCCGGTCGCGCGGCGTCCAGATCCATCACCCCGCCACGGCCCTCTCCGTCGGCGCCGACGCCATCCGCAACGAGCTCGCCAGCGTCCGCATCGCGCAGACGGACACTTCAACCGAGACGGACGTTCCCTGCGCGCAGATCCTCATCGCCGCCGGCGCCTGGACACCTCGCGTCTTCGCCACCCTCTTCCCGCTCTCGACGACCAGCATCCCCATAGGGAGCCTGTCAGGCCACTCCCTCGTCCTCCGGCCTCCAGCGCCCCGCCGCCCGGACGCCTGCCACGCCGTCTACAGCACCGCAGCCGACGGCTGGTCGCCCGAACTGTTCTCCCGCCTGGGCGGCACGTTCTACGTCGCGGGCGTCAACTCGACGGCCGAACCGCTCCCCGCCCTCCCCTCCGAGGCGCCCATCAGGCCGGACAATATTGCCGCGCTCAGGAGCGCCGCCGCGCAGCTCGTCGAGCGGGGCGACGAGCTCGAGGTCGTGCGCGAGGGCCACTGCTTTCGCCCCGTCACCGCGACGGGCGCGCCGCTGCTCTGCCGCGTGCCGGACGCGGCGCTGGGGCCGGGCATGGCGACGCGGCCGGGGGCCGGTGGCGGGGTCTTCGTCGCGGCGGGACATGGCCCGTGGGGGATCTCGCTGGGGGTCGGGACGGGCAGGGTCATGGCGGAGATGATGCAGGGGAGGCCCTTGAGCGCGGATGTCGGCCGTCTCGGATGGCGCTGACGGGCTTCAGCTGGTGCACCGCCGGGCAAAAGCGGTTGGTGCTGGTGCCTTGGGATGCGTTGACCGAACACCTTGGAAGGAAGCCGCTTGGGTGAAGCCTGTTGGGATTCCCCCAAAGCCTGTGACTCGCCTGAATTGCACGTCCTACCTGTGTGATGATGACGTGCCCTTGACCGGTTACGAACCCACTTCGCCCTCCGCAGGCTTGAATCATATTCATCTTCACATCCTATAAGAACCAAGTTGTCCGTTCAAAGCACTCAAGTCTCATGGTTCAATGTCCCAACTTATCTTGTCCGCTTTTGGCATGCTGACAGTCGAAGAGACCGCCTCATCCCGTATCAAAGCCATCAGATAGCAGTCTAGGCACTCTATCACCATTCAATATGGTCTCTGCGATGGTTACATCAGAAAACACGCCAGGGGAGCAGCCACCCGACAAAAGCCTCTCCAGGCTGCCCAAGCAGTGACCGGAGGAAAGGTGAATGTTATCTCATGGAGTCAGGTATTGACCTGGCCAGGACTGACAGGAAAGTACACAAAGTCATCTTGGCAGGTAGTCGCTCCGCGCTGGCTGACCCCAGCTTAGGATGAGTCGTCCGACCTTTACGGTTTCGCTTTCTGAACGATGTCAGCCATGGAGCCATGTCTACAGAGCACATGTGTTCTGTTAGATATATCATGAAAGCTTCATGACGCACACAGGCTATACAACCATCTGCCGTACGAACTCAACGCTTATTGTCGAACAGAGCCCAACGGAAAAGTTGTCCATGGGTTGAATCGCTTGAACAGGATTCCAGGCAGATCCAGCCCCGAGATGGAACTCATCACGACACTCAGCACCGACCACTTGCAACATGAGATATGTGGAATTGTTTCATGTCTCTCCGTAACATTGTGAGGTCGCACACTCTGATCGTATCACTTGCTCCCATAAGTATAACGCAGCTCGAACCCGCTCCCTGCCAAGGCAACATCGCATGTTCGATGGCACAGAGCCATGCACACTTGTGGCGATAATAAACTCTGTCAAAGCCCCGTGTACGCAAACGCCTGGTTGCATTCCACGGTTCGAAACCTAGGGCTTGGTAGGCACTAGTCCACAATCTGGGTCGACGAAGATACGAAGATGCATGGGCGACAGCCAAGATCTCCACATGCAGCACCGCGCCGAAACGATCCAACGTTCGACGCCTTCTCAGCCTCATCATGTCTGCAAGACATATTTGGGCCATCAAAAGAGTTCAAGGCAAGGAGGAGAAGCTCAAATTGGCATGTCGTCATACCCCACAATCGACCGTGTTGCTCATTCGGGTCGTTGAGTCCCCACAAGGGTCCAAGCAAAGAGAAAAAAAGGAAGGGAACGTGCCACCCCAGCAGTCCACAAAAGGGCAACCCAGAGGAAGAAGGGGAGTCCTTGGAATCTCGAGACCGAGGAAACGAAACACAATCTAACCCAACGCCAGAGAATGTTTTTTCTCTCTCTTCGTTCTCAATAGCTTCAACGGTCACCTCCACTTGGACCGCGACTAAAACGAATGCGAACGGGAATAAATAGCATCCCTCAACCCAGCAAGCAGCTGAGCAGGGTTCGTCCCCGGGTAGACACTGGACCCCTAATTTGCGACGTCTCCATCACCGTGGCGAAGAATGTCAGCGACGACTGAGTAGACGATGGGATCGTCGAGGCACGCGGTGAACGGTGAAGGCGACGCTGGCCCCCACCCCTCGTACTCACGACCAATCCACCGACTCGTTGGACTATGAATAGTTAGCTCTCGCTAACTAAGCGGGTGCCGCCGTTTTCGCGCGCCAAGGGAGACCCGAGGAAGGGCCTGTGCGCAGCCCTTTTTCTGTTCGTTTGCAAACAGCGAGCGCGACATGACACGAGGTCACAGGGCACGGCAGGGGGGAGCCTGTTTCTGTTCGGGGATACGAGGAGCGCAGTTGTTGCTCTCGTTCTCTCGTCCTGAGATGAGCTTATTCACCGGGGCCGAGGGAGCTGCACAGGTCAAATGACGATGCGGTAGCAACAGCGGTGGCAGGGCAGGGCAGACGAAGAAAAGACGGACGCCCCGATCGGGCTGCTGAGGCGCCCCCCTCCCCCCTTGCAGCATCGTGAGCACCCCTGCCCCCTGGTCGGTCAGCCGAGTGGTTGAGTGCTGCATCTCCATGTTGAGGTTCCTAGGCGAGCTGGTTGCTGATTCATATTCATTTTAGCAGTGAGCATCAACCTGCCCACGCTTGACGGTTGGGCAACACCGGCAGCAACAGCTCAGCTGCAAGCAAACCTCGCTGGGCTGTCGACGTCCCATGTCCACCCAAGCTGTCGGTGCTCAGGTCTGTCTGTTGGTGCACGCGCGGCATAATGCGTCAGTCGGGCCACCATGTCAGGTACCACGTACAGAATCGGGGCGCTCGTCCCTTGGGCTGCACAGCCGGGTTGATGGCGTGTCCGTGCCGCTGCGGTGTGTGTGTGTGTGTGTGTGTGTGTGTGTGTGTGAGAGAGAGAGAGAGAGAGAGTGTGTGTGTGTGGTTGTCTGGGGGAAACCCGACACGGCTTCAACGGAAGAATATCGTCCCATGTAATGTGTCGCCTCTTCATCGTGTGACAGCGGCCGTATTCGGAGAGGTCGGCGCAGTTCGCGGGATGGAGGCATCGGAGGGGCGTGAGGGCACGATGGTATGAAGCCGATGGTGAGTGGTGAAGGCAGTCAACGATGCTAACCAGTGTTGGATGCTACTGGTGCATGCAACCATCACGAACTTTGGCGGAGATAGCAACTCCCCATGATCAATCAGATGCAGAACAATTCCAATAGCTGGAAACTCATACATACATAGGTACAATGGCCACACAATCATGTCGTCATGACAAAAACTCCAGCATCCACGTGGTCCCTCCTGCCTCTTCCCCCCCCTGTACCTTCTCCCCCCCTGGTGCCTTCTTTTTTCCACCCCGCCCCGAAAGACACCTCTCGGCAGCTGGTTGCACTTTAACGACCCCCTGCACTTCTCGCCAATTCGCACCCAACACAGGCTGTGCCAGGTTGATACCCACCAGCGAACGGCACGATGCGAACCAGCCAAGACAGCTCGACAGAGAAGGGGGGCCCTGCCTGTACCTGCTTTCGTGCCTTGCATCAGCACACCAGCCTTGCCCACCTGGGCCATCTTCACGGAGCGTCCCCTCCCAAATGAGACGGCCGACCATCCACTTCACTGGCAGCGAACAAGATGCCACCGCCTTGGAAGATGCATGAAAGCCACACGCACACTGTCTATATGTCTTCATGACCCCTCCTTGGCGTCGCATCCTCGGCTTGTCGTCGAGATCGAACGGCAATCGCGGTGAGAACTCAAAAGTCCAACACGAGCTCGGCAGACCAAATACGGCGCGAGAGAGAGAGAGAGAGAGAGAGCAAGAAGCACATGGGCGTGCCAAGGAGGAACAAAACGTCCAATCGCCTTCTTGGCACACACCAAACCATATCCCGAAGAGGAAACCCCACGGTGTCCCATTCCTCTCTCTCTCTTTCCTCTGCTCTCTGCACCCATCGCGCAGAGGGAAAAGAGCTCCCGCAAAAGTAAGTGTCTTGGCGCCCGGCACGCTCGCTTCCCTCGGCCACCCGGTATCCGAACGACAAGAAAGTACTCGCCCGGCCAATTCCTCGCACCTCGCACCTCGTCCAATGAATGAATCATCAACCTCTCCAGCCCGACAGGGTATTGGGGGGAAAGGGGTGTTGGATGAGTGAATACGTGAACGCCTCAAACCGATGTAAACCCATCACTTCGGACAGCCACCGATCCGAAATCTGGCCATCGCGTTGAATCGAGGGTGTATAGACAGGGGGGGCGGGGCAGAAGGAGCAGGCCAGCTGATCAATAGGCGAGAAAAGATCGGGGGACGGGGGACATGGGGAAAGAAAAAGCAAAGATGACCGCGAAAAGAAGAGAGACACCACTGCAGAGCTGAGAAGGGCGGCGTTGGGAGATTACAGTAAACCATCGTGCAACAGAGCAGCACACTCACACACACACACACACTTGGCTTTTGTTTGTAGGGTCAGGTGAGCTCCTCGTACCTGAGGGCGGGGCCGTGCGCGCAGAAGCACTTGCAGCAGCCTGCGAATAATGCGCCGCTAGCCCATGGGCGCCCCGCCCCGCCGCCTCTTCGATTCCCGGCCGAGACGAGGTGGTGGGTAGGGAGCTAGCCGAGTCGCGCGTTGGCGGCGAGGGGAGAGAGAAAGAGAGAGAGAGAGAAATTGTCGGTGAGGCCATCGTGAGATTGCGGTACACACTATCGAGAGGCATTTCTTCTCGCCAACCCTTTTGCCCCCACCTTCTCTTCGTGCATAACAGAAGGTTTCAGCCCCCCCCCCATGTCCCCATGTCACGATGCAAAGCGGTGAGGAGAAAAGGTAGGTATGTTGAATAAGGTGTTCAATCTGAAGACCCTTGATGTGAATTCGTCCAAGATGCCCAGCTCCACAGGAGTTTGCATCTTGGGTGTCGGCCCCAGCCAGCCTTCATAGCGAAGGAATAAACTAAATTACAAGAATTGTAGGGTTGTCCCGAGTATCGTCGCATTTCCTTCCCGAAAACAGTTGCCTGCTTTTGTGTGTGTGTAAGGGGGTGGTATCTCCCATCTCTAATATGATTGATGGGGGGTTGTTTCCCCTTCCATCCCTTTGTATCCCCCGAGCCCAGATAGTTCCCCACCATAAAATAGAGTACAGTGAAGTCGCCGTTGACAAGTTAAGAAAATAAAACTCCAAAATGGGTATGCGTGTGAGGCCGTGAGAGAGACATGTAGTAATAGAATCGCTCCGGTCCGTTGACTGATAATGAAAATGTGGTTGAATGATCATGTTGTGTGTGGTGTAGTTGGTCGTGTTGTTGGCTTGTGTGTAATGATAAGAATGAGTGTTGGGGTTGAGTGACTGAGGCTGCCTCAGAAAAGGCCGCCGTCAGAGTGCCGGATGCCCTGCTCC